TGGTGATACTGATTTTTTCATGCGACGTTTCGTATTCGTGGAACCATCATCAACTTTTGTTTTTTAAATACGGTCCTGATAATTTTTTCACAGATTCTGAAAGGTTATTTTATTCTGAATTCAACCATGTATTATACAAAGTGGTTTATGTGTGTTCCGACCTATTTTCAGCCATCATCAATGTTTTTTCGAAATTCCAAAGGGAAAATGCCATCAGTTCCACTTATTTTGAAGGAAAATTAGTCAACACACTAATACCTCATCAACTGGTTTCACTCAACAACCCATTTCATTTTGCAGAAACAAAAATTCCATCCATACAAATTCAGAATATGTCAAGCGCTAAAACCAGGCGATGACGAAAGGCGCAAGACATTCTGTGAGTGGTATACCAGGAAATGTTAAAATTTTGCAGATTTCTTTCGAACAATCATCTGGACTGATGAAAGCATGGTCACTAATCATGGTAGCTTCGATAGAAAAAATACACATTATTGTTCACGAGAAAATGAACATTTATACATTACAGCGAGACACCAACACCGTTTCGGCTTTAATATGTGGGTTGCAATATTTGGTACACGAATTATTGTTCCTTCTATTTACCATGAAACACAGACTTCCGAACGTTATAGAAATTCGCTTGAGAATCATCTTGAGGATCTCTGGATGATTTAACGATTGCGGAAGTTCAGAACTGTTGGTTTCAACACGATGGCGCTCCGGTACATAATTCCAGAGTAATCCGTGCGTTTTTATCCCTTGGCCGGCGCGGTCGCCTGATATGACACAGCTGGATTTTTTTCTTAGGGGATATATCGAACTTTGTACACGCAAATAACTTTGATGATGGAGAAGAACTAAGGGACAGTGTCTTCGAAGCATTCAATAGAATAACCCCAGAAATGCTTAGCAATGTCTTAGAAGCAACTGTGAGAAGAGCATATCTTTGTTCAGAAAATAATGGTTATCATTTTGAACATTTGTTATAAATGTCTCTGTAGGTATTGTCAAAGTTAAGTTGTTGAAGTAATTCGTGTAAGAATTCATCAACAATTTTAAACGCTGCATTGAACGAATGATGTAGTGAAATATTTTTTATTCACTTTTCAGTATTGAATAACTAATCCATCAAGTTTGACACTAAATGATCAGAAATAAGTGGAACTGATGGCTTTTTTCCTTTGGAAGTTCGAAAAAACATTGATGATGGATAGAAATAGGTCGAAACACATTCGAATCACCTTGTATAGTATATGGTTGAATTCAGAATAAAAAAACCTTTCAGAATCTGTGAAAAAGTTATCAAGACCGTATTTAAAAACAAAAGTTGATGATGGTTCCTCAAATACGAAACGTCGCATGAGAAAATCGGTATCACCACGTTAAACGTCATCAAAAGTTGCTATGAAAAAGTATTTTCAGTTTTTCTGTATCTCTAATAATAACGGAGAAAAAAAAAATAGAAATTCCTAAAATTCACTTTTTTCGATATAACTCAAAAACTAAAAATTATTTTCAAAATTTTTGAAGGCTCTTGATATGAGCCTCCGAATGCGCAACTTTTTCCCCATTTAAGCGACTTCGTATCTACCGTTTCCGAGATCCCCATGCTGTTCAACCTTATCTTGGACAGACTGTATATATATATAAAGAAATACATTGAGAATTCGCATTCTCCATGTGATGAAAATATTAATTCTTTCTCGATTTATTCAACAGAAAACAACTACTTTCCTGGTTATATGCCACGATGAATATTGAATTACATCTATTGAACACACACGATAAGAATTTGAAAACAAAATCTTCTGAAGTAGAGAAGTTGCATTCTCCTTCATATAAAGATATGCATATAATATAATTCTGAATATTCAAAAGAAAACAACTATTTTCCTGGCTATTTGCCACGTCGAACAAAAGAGAGCAGGAAAAATCAAAATCCTCTGAAATTGCAAATTGACATCATTTCTCAAATCGAATAGAATAATATGATAGCAGTCCTCGCTGGCACATATTCCGATTTCAATAGGAAAGTTGTTAATTGCTTGTCGAATGTTGATGTCTCTCAACTCCTCCGTAGTGGCTGGAGGATCGGAGTAGACGATGCTCTATATCCCCACAAAAAAATCGAGGGGCGTAAGATCTGGCGATTTTGTCGGGAAAGTGGTGTCCCCAATTTTCGAAAAACTCGCGGTGCCGTAACATAGGAATTGTAAGATTTGAAAAACGACATGTTTTCTGACAATCCGTACGGAGTTGCCGCAATTTACCAGCGCTACTTCCCTCACAACTGTTAGGACGGTTGTACAGGGCGCATGCGAAAAGGGAAATTCACCCTGTAATCTTTCAGGAATAACACAATTTTCAAACGTTGCTTTATACAGGGTGAGTCAAAAATGTGTACCGAGCTTTCTGGGAGTGATAGAACATTGAAAAATAACTGTATTTTGATGATTAAACTCATATATCCTTCCAAAGTTGATAAAATTAAAATAATTTCTCCGCATAACTTCTGAACGATGAAAGCCACCCGATTGAAATTTTGTGCATGAATGAATATTGTCAAAATACATTTTTTCGTCACACTTCCACATTTCTGATATTGTTATAAAGGGTGTTTTCAGAGGGTGAGTCATGATTTTTTGTAGAAAACTTTTTTCCCTGTATTATTTTCGGTGAAAAAACAGGAGCATTTGATGGAGCGAAGAAAATTACATGGAAAAGGTACTCCTATTCAAATACAAAAAATTGAGCCGTTCGTGAGATATTTGAGTTTTTGTAGTTACATGATATCAGCAGATTGATTTTATTCATCGCGAGATTCATCGGTATAACGATATTTCAGCAGGCCATGAACAATTTTGTTTTTAATTTTGTCGATAATATCACCTCCCTGTGCCACGTTACTGAGCAATAAGTACATAGCATAAGTCTGTCCCAACAAGGTTTGAATAAAAATAAAAGTTTATAATGTTTTTGGTACTTTTAATTAATACATAATTTTGAATGGAAGAAAGAGGAAAAAAAACAAATTAAAGTAGCTTTTTGAAATGTCCACCGTTTTCGGTTATACATAATCTGAGGCGTTTACGTAAATTAGTCATCAAACCGTTCATAGTTTGGTGATCATTTTTCAACAACGTAAATTCGTTCACAATTTTTAGCCTCAGCTCCCCAACATTCCGAATTCCGCTTGAATAAACCCTAGATTTCATGTAACCTCAGATCGAAAAATCTAGTGGATTGAGGTCAGGCGAACGAGCGGACCAGGAAATAGGAGCGCCTATGCCTCGTCCTATCCACCTATCAGGAAAATTATCATTAAGCCATTCACGTACAACTCTTACATAATGAGGTGGTGCTCCTTCATGCATAAAGCAGATTTCCCTACGTATGTTGAGAGGAATGTCTTCTAATATCGTACCTAACTCATTTTCTAAGAAGTTGAGGTACATTGCACCATTCAGAGACCCTGGAAACATGTAGTATCCAACGAATTTGTCTCCTAAAATCGCAGCCCAGACGTTCACTTTGAAATTATATTGAAAATGCGTTACTTCAACAACGTGTGGATTTTCGTCAGCCCAGAAATGAGTGTTGCGCGAATTCAAAACACCGTTTCTAGTAAAAGTTGCTTCGTCTGTGAACAATATTTTGTTTAAAAACTCAGGACATATTCGAGTTCGTTCCAGAAACTCTTCGCAAAATCTCAATCTTATTTCATTGTCTCGTGGTAACAGTTCTTGTACCTGCAAATAATGATAAGAATGTAGTTGTTGCTCTCTGAGAATCCTTGTTACATTCGCTTGTGTTGTGTCTATTCGTCTTGCTAATTTCCTTGTACTTATTTCCGGATCCTGTTCCACAGTATTTAATACTTCTTCTTCAACTTCTACAGTTCTCGCACTTCTGGGTCGGCCACCATTTTTATTATTGATTTTCAAACATCCTGTTTCACGCAGTCTTTGTACAATCCTCAAAATTGTTCTCGAATTTGAAACGCGTCGAGCGGGAAACATCTCTGCATATCGTCTCACAGCAGCATTTGCATTTCCGAAGCACTCGCCAAGCATTAGAAGCATATCAGTTTGTTCAGAGAACGAATAACCTGTCATATTTCTTAAAATCCCAGTTGATAATCGCAGTGATAAATGACACAGAAAAACCACACGAACAAATCAACTACAACAATGTTGACTCGAATGTTGATGACATGAACGTCAAAATTGGGAACAAAATTATTCATCATGGCCTGCTAAAATATTGTTACCAATGAATCTCGCGATGAATAAAATCAATCTGCTATCATGTAACTACAAAAACTCAAATATCTCACGAACGGCTCAATTTTTTGTATTTGAATAAGAGTGCCTTTTTCATGTAATCTTCTTCGCTCCATCAAATGCTCCTGTTTTTTCACCGAAAATAATACAGGGAAAAAGTTTTCTACCAAAAATCATGACTCACCCTCTGTAAACACCCTTTATAACAATATCAGAAATGTGGAAGTGTGACGAAAAAATGTATTTTGAGAACATACATTCATGCACAAAATTTCAATCGGGTGGCTTTCATCGTTCAGAAGTTATGCGGAGAAATTATTTTGATTTTATCAACTTTGGAAGGATATATCTCCCTTAATATGCATTTTGGGCCATGAGTTCAATCATCAAACTACACTTATTTTTCAATGTTCTATATCACCCCCAGAAAGCTCGGTACACATTTTTGACTCACCCTGTATATACCTGCATACTAAAATGCTTGCACAAACATCATGGTACCTACTATATAGACAAATTACAGAAGACATCTTCCACCCCCAATCTGTAGGACTCAAGTTTACTCCCCGCCACTTCTGTACTTGAAGGTAACACCTTGCTGCATGGTAGCCTGCGGCATCTTCCGTCGGTGGCAATCGAGCGAGATTTATGCTCGTTGAAGTAACAAACGTCTTATACCTCAGGAAATCCAAAGTATCCTTCGCGATATCACCCTCATAGAGCCAGGAAACATTGCTCAGCAAGTGGTTCACTCTTGCTCAGGAGTGTAGTGAATTTGATCTTCCCTTGGCCAAACGGCACTGAGATAGTATCGCACCCGGTGAATGCGTGGGTGAATAGTACCGTCCCTGGTGATCGCTGGGAGTCCTGGTGGTTGTAGAGATATGACAGCAACCAGCTTCGCTCTTGGTGCTCTTCTGAAGGTAGACTGTTTTTGGTTATCAGCCGTTTTTCAGAGAACCGCTAGGCCTCTCAAGTGAAAGCTAATTAAATTTACTACAACTTTATTCCACATAATATTTGACGTGGGAAGCGTATTTTAGAAGATGATTCACAGAATAGATGACCATTTTGAAGGAAATCCACATTTTCGAAGATTTTGCCCATTTTCGAAGAACTGTATCTTGGGAACCATCAATAGCTGTATAGAGCTCGCCTTGGCCTCGAATTGTAGCAAATTTAGTTATCTCCAAAAGTTCATGGGGTGACTATAGCGGTCAAACCCTTTCTTCTCTGAGATATTGAGCAAAAACTGAAATAAGTCCGAAAATTTCATGGTTTTTTTGGTATACCGTCGCTCTCACAGCACTTTGGAAATTGCAAATCTGGTTTTTTAATATTGGTTCAGGTCCTAACAACATAAAACAAAATCAGAATGACCAGACCTTTTGCAAGCACGGATGTACATCTTGATTGGACTATAGCCAAATGGTGAGAGTGAAAATGTTATTGTGCATTTCTATATTGATGAAAAGCTTCACTTAATAGAATTTTTAACCGTGTGTATAGTAGAGTACCTATATTTCTAATAGTCTGATTCTTACAGTGGAAGTAATAAGAAAAATTAAAGATGCCCAATCGTTGAAAAATTACAATAGTCTCCGATAAGTGAAATACTTGAAATGATTTTGGTAGAGATTGAAAATGTTGCATGTCACATGCCTTTATAACGTGCCAATTCTAAGGAGACGAATCGTTAAATCATCATAATATACAGGGTGTATCTAAATAACACCGAAAAAATTGGAGGGGTGATTCCTTGTGATATTCTAGCAAATAAAGTTCATATAAACATGTGTCCTAACTTGCCCCGTTTTTGAGATACAGGATGTTGAAGTTGGAAGTATTAATTGTTTTTATTCATAACCCCCCTGTCTAAAAGCTTTAATGGTGCCAAAATTCATTATAACTTGCCCCGTTTTTGAGATACAGGATGTTGAAGTTGGAAGTATTAATTGTTTTTATTCATAACCCCCCTGTCTAAGCTTTAATGGTGCCAAAATGCAGTATGGTTGGAGACTGAGAAAGTCCCAGAATTTCAAAATGATTCTAATTGGGGTTATTGAGTAATCTCAATGGAAATCTTGAAAACACGCCTACATTAAAATTTGAAGTCCAATCGAATTATTAGTTACCTCAGAAATTAAGCTTGATACAAAAATTACACATAGGATAAAAAAGTTGTTATTTCAATAGTTCAATCTGATAAAAATCGATAAATTTACCCACTGTGACGCCACTGGAAATATTCCGAATCTAATTGCACCAGAAGAACTATTACTATTACCAAAACCATGCACGACGTTTTATTGATATCGATGGAAAGGCAACTGAGTAATGAATAAAAAACGATTTTTCATGGAAATATTATCTCGTATCTCGAAAACGAAGCAAGTTAGGACACATGTTTATATAAACTTTATTTCCTTAAGTACCACAAGGAATCCTCCTTGAATTTTTTCGGTGTTATTTAGATTCACCCTGTAGATCTTTGAACACCTTGAGAGGACATATAAATATGCTGCTAATATTGAAAAATCACTAGGTGTCGGCGCATGACAAAATACACTATAAAATTTGAGCACCACCTGCAAATTCCAAATTTTCGTGTAATTGCGAATGGCCACGTCCAAATAGAAGATGAGCCCTAATGATAGATATCTAGAATTATTATTTCATGAAGAGGGTGTCTCCTTATAATTTCATATTTTGACCCCTACCTACAGCTTCAACTATACGAGGCAGAAAACAATTCTAGATATGGAAAATGTAGACTTTCATCTGTACTATCTATTGGCACTGCTTAAATAAACGAATGCGAATCGCAAAGAAGAACAAAAAGAGTCCAAATCAGTTTCCTCTAATAGAACAATAATGCAATGGCGAATTATGGACTCAAGCCAAGACATCGTACACCTTTTTTTTGCACAGTATATTTTTGTGTTGTTCAATTATTACACCCAGTTATAGTTGAATAGACGCACATACATACATTGTGTTCCATTTAAAAAAACATAACTATGGGTGATATCTGAATAATAAGAGATTATTTGGAAAATCTGACTACGCCACTGGATTCCACGTGGAAAACTGTATGAGTGACAGTTTTTACTTTTCCTATAAGTTGAAAGATAGCTGAGATACACGAAGATGTCCCAAAATGCAACATTTTCGATTTCGCCCTATATCTCAAAAACGAAGTAGACTATGAAAACTTTGTGTGCGGTATCGTAAGTTTCAGAACAAAGTAGCCAACATTCGCGAAAACCGCGAATCTCTATCTCTGAAAATATGTTAAGATATCTCGTGAGGACATCGAAAATGGGACAGCCGCACAGTGAGCAGTGTGTGCGAGCGGCTCGGGTTCGATTCTTGCGAGGGTCGGTTTTTGTTTTAATATTGTATTCTCATGTGATTCTTCGAAAAATATACTTTTTCAGCAAAAGTGTTCATTCAGGCAGAGTAAGGTTAGATTTAAAAAAAACAGTCTCCTTTCTTGTGCAGAAAGACCACTGCCCTCATATTATCAGTATATATCAGGCCAAGTTAAATTAGATTGTTTGGAAAAGTAGTCTCTTTTATTATGCATAAGATATATTTTCCTTCCTCATAATATTAGAGAACATGCAACAAACAGCATTTTCTGTAGACTTTCGGGTATTCTCGTTCCTGAAGTTTTTCATGAGGGTAAGAGTCTTGTATAGGTATAAATACCTATGCTGCTAATATTGAAAAATCACTAGGTATATGTATTATATGTATAGACTATAAAATTTAAGCACCACCTGCAAATTCCAAATAGCTATAGTACGGACGATGGAACGTCTTTTAGTGAATTAAATGTACCTGCTGTCATTTCGTGTAATTGCGAATGGATGAATAGCTCGGCCTTTCGGCCACGTCTAAATAGAAGATGAGCCCTAATGATAGAAATCGAGAAACATGAGACAAATTGGACAGGGTCTATAAGGATACGGATGCGCACGGTATATAATTTGTCGCGATTTATCAGTTTCGGTCGTCTGCTAGCCTCAAGGCATCTTTAGCGCGATTCCGAAATTTTGACAAAAATTGTTGGTCAGTAAGTTGTTAGCCGATAGGCAAAGTTGCATAGATCACCATACTTTTGTTCACAATTTCTCATGAGGATATCAAAATACAGGTTTTTCAAGTTGATGACGTTCTTTATCTCCGTATAAGGAGGACCTGATATACAGGGTGTCTGTAAGTCGATTTAAGTAAAATTACCTCAGTACAAAGTTGCATCGTTTGGGCTCCAGAGGGCCTTGAAGTTACAATTTTTAAATAGTTTTTCCCATATAAATTTAAAACGGCATATGCGATTCTGCTGAAATTTGGTGAATTGATAGAGTTTTATGTGGCAACATAAATGGTGTCAACATTTTGTCCGATGATAATACATAGGCGTAGAGCTTGATTTTTTAAATAATTGCATATTTTAAAATTCTACGCCAATGGAAGAAAAGGAGTTTGAGTATGAAATTTAGATTGCGCAACTCATTTACTTTAAAAAAGGTACTCGTGATAAGACTCGATTGCTCTCATGGTTTTGACGAAATTTGCATTTTAGTAATTTTAGAACATGAACAATAATTATTAAAATACAAACTTTGTCAGAACCATGAGAGTAAATCGAGTGATATCAAGGGTACTTTTTTGAAGTAAATGAGTACCCAATCCCAATTTCATACTCAAACCCTTTTTCTGCCATTGACGTAGAATTTTTAAAGGTGCAATTATTTAAAAAATCAAGTTTTACGAAATTAAGGCTTATCGTTTCCATTGGTATACGATCCCATTCTTCCAATAATGCATCTGCCATTTCTGCGATACTTTCCGGAGACCTCTCGCGAGAACGTACCCTTCTCCCTAATTCATCCCACAAATGTTCTATAGGATTCATATCGGGGCTTCTCGCAGGCCATTGTAATGTGGTAATACCAGTAGCTTCTAAGAAGTTTCGCACTATTGCTGCGGTGTGTGGTCGTGCATTATCCTGCATCAATATAAAATTATTGCCCACTAACTCTGCATCATTTCAGACATACTGCTCTAAAATGTCAATGTGAATTTGGGCATTCATCGACTGCCTCACCGGAAAAAACATGAAGGGGTGTCTTTCCATTCATTGAAATTCCTCCCCACACCATAACGGACCCACCCTCGTTTTCTTCCATCCACCATGTTAAGGCAAAACCTTGACTCATCCGTAAACAAGACATTCGACCATTCAGGAATATTCCACTGTCCATAATTTTCAACAAAATTTCTTCTAGCAGCACGATGTTCGGACAATAATTTGGGACCTTTTGCACGTCTCCTAGCTTTTAAATTAACTTCTTTTAGACGTCTACATACCGTCTGCTCACTTACTGCAACATCACGAATTTGGCGAAGATCTTGCTGAACATTTACCGCAGTATTTGATCGATTCCGTAAAATCCGCAATCTCAAGAAGCGATCATCTCTTGGAGAAGTTTTTCGGGGGCGACCAGAACCTGTTTGTTCGTACTTGCGGATTGCTCTACGAGCAGTTGCTTCATGAACTCCCACTGCACGATCGGCGTAACGTTTACTACGCCCATCGTTCACTAACGCAACTAATCTTGCTACTTGTTCAGGATTTATTTGAGGCATTTTATGTAATTTTAGTCAATAAAACAAGACACTTCATTAATGACACAACGAACATTATAGGGATTCCCTTTCGTGCGCTCCAATCGATAAAAAAAATATGGAGGCATACAACGGATTAGTTACTATGGCAACGGCATTTGTTTTTTTAAAGACAATGTGATCCTACCAGAGTACAACCCAATCAATTTTGAGTACTCTGATCCTTCAATAAATTTAATTTGTGGGATAAGCGTGGGGTATCAGCAAAAAAGCTGTAATTCGGGAAATTTTAAAGATAAATCTATGAATAAAGAAACAAAATGCTCGCAAAAGAAGCCTCTTTCGTATAGGGTGTAAGCACTTCGTATACCATTACTCAATTAACACACAGGGTGAGTCAAAAATTAGGAATAAATCATGGTTCGAGTTATTCCACCACCATCAAGGAGGCTTTGAAAAAAATTTCACTTCTTTATTTTACTATTTTTTTAAGATAGGTCAAATATCAAGTGCGTCACTTTTTATGCAACTGAGTGTATTTTTTCATCAACTTGGACTCTATATCTCGGAAACGAAGCATTTTCGGTACCATGTTCACATGAACTTGTTGTCATATTTTGTAGAATGACTTGAATCGGACCTAAAATATACGTCTTTAACACATTTTGTACGTCTTAAAGACGTTCACGAATGTACGGTTTTGGGAAGTCTTTATACGTCCTTGGACGTAAAGACGTAAGTCAGACGTAAAATGTACGTCTTTGAGACGTCTTGTGCTGATTGAGTTTGATTTTCCCATGGGAAATTGGGAGCGGATGTACCTTGTACAAAAATTTTCGCTGTGGGAGCATCATTTATCAAAGATAAGCTCCTCCCATGAAGTGATTTATGTTTGTATTTTTATGAATTAAAGTTGATAATCGTTGATAATCGTTATTGATAGCCAATGGGCCTACTATGAAAGGAAAGGCATTTCGCATGTTAACATTCGAATATATTCGATAGGCAGTATTAAACCTCTCAATATTCTTAACGACAATTTGAAGAATGTTAATATTCTCTATAATTGATATTCAATATTCAAATTTGATATTTTGTGCAACGAAATGAACTTAGAATAATCTGAGAGAGTTACTCACCTCAATGGTTTGAAATAGTCGCATAGATAATCGAATCTCTCATCAGGAACAGGTACCCTACTTGCTGAAAAAAAATAAACAATAAGTATTTCGTAAATTCAACTCCACAAAAGGGAAAAACATATCTCACGACCTTAAGCTATTTCTATGTAGTACTTTGGTTTCATAGCTCAACAATTGAATAGGAAAAATATGCAACTTAGTTATTCTTTGGATCTAGGACAAAATTATATGTGTGAATTCGGAATCACTTGATGGTTATCAAGTCAAAATTGAGCAATTTTCGAAATTTGGCAAGAACTATATGCAACTTCGTTATCCATTGGCAACAACATTATTTTTCTGCAACCGACACAAAATTCGTTAATTTTGATACCTACATTAGCTCTTGATAAGTCATGGAAACCATCCATCCTTCTCAAAGTGGTCCAGATTTTTTTCAAAGAAAAAAAAACAAAACACTAAGTCGGTCGACCACAAAGTTTAATTACAAATGATTTACTTTTTGTGACTAGTTTCGGCTCAAGCAGCTATCTTCAGACACAATATACAGTACCAGTGAAGATATTAGTTCACAAGAATAATATAACATATTGAGGAAAAAACATACCTATGAAAGGACACTTGGAATCACATAATTAATTGAATTGAAATTTGAGTAGCAGAGTCCTTTACAGGTACTGTATATTGTGTCTGAAGTTCTGAAGATGGCTGCTTGAGCCGAAACTAGTCACAAAAAGTAAAACTTTTGTAATTAAACTTTGTGGTCGACCGACTTAGTGTTTTGTTTTTTTCTTTGATTAGCTCTTGAATTGACATTCCTATATACTGACACAAACATAGGTATGTTGCTAGGCAACGCATTTAGTTCCTAGGAGCTGAACTTGAACTTATTCTCGGTTATTTGGGTTGGGACGCATACCTGATTTGTTTTCGATTTCGGCAGATTTGGCATATCATACCCATGCTGGAGATATAAATACACCTTATTATAATTGAGTATTTTCATTTTGATCAGAAAAGCCTTCAAGATTCACTTTTTTATGTTCTGGTTCCCACGAAAAGGGATATCCTGTAATGTTCAGAAAACATCGTGAGAACCAAGGGAAATAAGGTAGGAATTGGTGTTCTTCTTGAATTTCTGAAGGTTATGTGCCTCGGGGAACAAAATAGAGCCAGATCGCCAATTTTTTCACGGTGTTCCAGAGAAGTGAGTGAGTTTGTGAGCGAAACGAATTGCCTTTTTTTGGACAGAATCCAAAAGTTTCAGGGAATGTTTGGGTGCTGCACTCCAAATATGGGAACAGTATTCCAGATCAGGTCGGATCTGTGCCTTATAGATCATAAGCAGATGACTGGAAGTGAGATAGCTCCTGGCCCGAAACAAAAAACCAAGTTTTTGTGAAACCAAGTTTTTGTGATGCACTTCTCGCAATTCAAAGCATATAGAAACATTGTAGTTCATCGAACGGCACCTGTGCCAATCACTATCCTGATCAAAATGATTGAAAAATTGCACTTTCCTGTGCCGAAATTTGTATTCGATTTCGCGATTTCATAAAGAGATAAGAATCATGCCATCCGATACCAATTGAATGGCAGATCACAAAAACCAACCATTGCCACCCCTCAGTCCGAGCCAAATCGATTTATTGCGATGTATTTGCTGCTATTACTCTGCTTCCGTGATGTGATAACGAGTAGAAATAAAAAACAATCAAGATGGGATAATGTCCCCTTCGCGGATATCCAAACGTGCCGCGAAATTAGTGGCAGACCGTAAATATTCTCGAGAATATTTCGCCCCCTCTAATGATAATATCCGATGGACCAGTGTAGGACTCAACATGTAGATTAGAATACTTATAGTGCGAGCACCACATGACTTTTACACTGGTCCATCGGATATTACCTTCCGACGAGGGCGAAATATTCTACTAACTAACGTAGATCAATCATTGGTAGAAGTCCATATTGCTCAAAGTGGAGTGAAATATTTCACAGGAAGGAAGGAATGCTCGAAGTCATCTCCACAAATTTTAATGATATTATTACTAAATCATGAGGGACATGTTTCGGTCTTATAAAAGACCATCTTCAGCCTAATTGAAAGGTCTACAATACAAAAACGAATGATATTGAAGTGAAAGAATTACCTATTTTATGCTAGACTTACTTGGAGTTGAAAACATTTCTTATGATGCTACTATTCCTTGAACTGTCAATGCCCATAGTCAAGAATTCCAAAGGTTTAGAAAAAACGGGTTCTCGATAAATGAAGGGCCCCGTGCCCTGAGAGCGCATACTATTAGTTTTTAATGAACATTTCATATACCAGAATGGTATATGAAGGGTATTGTCAAAAAGTTTGTTTTTTGACACCATAAACTAACGGATTTTTTGAAAAGGGGTTCCCCGTGCCCTTATGAAAGCGCTACTTAAAGGAAAATATCAATAAAATTGATGGGGCAAACAGCCAGCACGTGTTTAAATCTAAACTAGTTTGGTTAGAAAACACTGAAAATTATGTCAATTAAAGACATGGACAAGACGTTGACATAGTCAATGTCAATGTCAAGGGATAAAACATGAAATTCTGACCATGAGCATAGGCATATAACAATATCTATCACAACTATTGAAGAATATGGATTTAGGAGGAGGGATGCATGTAGGAGAGAGTTGAACAAACCGGAAAAATCATTGACTATGAAATACCATAAAATAAGTTGAGACCAAGGTAGGTGAACTGTCAGTGATTAAAATCCAAAGCATTGAAAAATTCCATACAATCAAAATGTGTTTGTTCATTAAGAGACAAGACAGAATTATTATTCAAGGAAGAATTAATTTCAAAAATTTACAGTAAATTCAGTAACATGTCCCTCATGATTTAGTAACAATATCATTGAAATTTGTGGAGATGACTTCGAGCATTCCTTCCTTCCTGTGTAACGTAGATCAGCTTGAATCACGGCACGTTTGGATATTCGCAAAGGGGACATTTTACCTTTTATTTGCTTCTTGTTTCGACTCGTTATTACATGACGGAAGTATTTCCGGGATAATAGTGTCACGAGTAGAACATACAGTATATTAGTAATTTGGAACCATGAGGGTTTTATAAACATAAAATTATTCAAATCATCCATTGACATTGAACTATGAGAACTGACCAAGGAACTCTCATGAGAAACGTGCAAATCTAATGAAATGATGTATATAAATATTGGATGTGAGGGTTCCGAAGTTAGTCTGGTCTGGGGCTACTCTTGACTTGACAAGAGCTCGTCGTGATGGTCATTATAATGTGAGTTGTTATTAGGTCTTTATATTCATTGTTGTTTATTCCTATTTATCATCACTTCACCCATAATGTTTCATGCTATAATATATATTGTTATGTTTGAATGTAGTCTCGTACTTTCAGTTACCCCAAAACTATTAGTGCCTATTTGAATTTAACCTCTCGCAAACTATTCAACCAATCAATCAATCGAAATATCATGTTCTTTTGTTTTTCAATTATATCATCTTCTTCATTGAAGTCAAACAAATATTTTAGTAAGACAGTTTTCATTATTTTAAGTATTGAATATAAAAATGTGTTTTTATATGGGGCATCTGGCCAGGTTTTGCTAACCAAAATGTGAAATATACTCTTAGAATGCAAATAACCCCGATTCGTAAACACCTTTGATGAGAATTACTTGTTAATTAACGAATAAACTTGTAATGAAAAATGATTCGACTTCTCGTAAAAATGTCAGAATTAAATTAAATTAATAATGTCTGATGACATGCCCGTCTTTCACAGGATGTTCAGATTGCTGGCATCCTCCCCAGCATGCTAAAATCGCTCGAATCGCGAAATCGTGTGCAACTCTTCGCATAGGAAAGTGCAATTTTTAAATCAATTTACTCAGGATAGTGATTGGCACAGGTGCCGTTCGATGAACTTCAATGTTTTTACATTCCTTTGGGACATATATCATTTCGTTATAGAATGACGGTCGAAATTTGCACCCGGCTCTCCTACTAAATGTCCAGACGCTAGCAAGACAATCACTTAACAGAACTTTATTCACGTTTCATAAAAAACATTATCAACAACATCATGAACAATCTTGGAAATGGCAGTAGCGACGCTCTCTGTGCTCTCGCTCTTCACCGACTCCAACAAAGAAAACTTCGGTATAGGCTCCTCGTAATGCAAATAGGGATTGATCACCGACTTCATCCTGTCCAGATAGCTAATCAATTTCTCCATCCTCTGACGATACAAATCATCGCCTCTCCTATACATAGGCCTCAACTCTGGCGACAATCTCTCATTATGAACCTTCAAAAATAATCCGACTCCAATGGCCGCAGATGATGCTATACTCAAGCCCGGAATGACAGGTCTTCGTCGGGAGATGAAGCCTAGGGCTTTGATGACAGGAGTGGCAACATACTGTTCCAGCATACCCAAAATCGGAAGCTCCCTGTAGCCCAACGAAGAATAGCCGCCAGGAGGTTTGAAGCTTATCTCTGCCGGAAACATCCAAGGTTGTCTCATGAACTCCCGAAGGCATTCTTCACTAGTGAACAGATAGGTTTTATTTTTGTAGCACAGAGAGTAGTCGATGGAACCTTTGATAAGGGCACGCAAATTTTTATAGCACACTAGGCAGTTACCGTCTTCAAATACGTTCTCTGGGATAGCATTCAGTGTCTGGATGCTGGGAAGGTCCAAGGGTAGAGAGTGTTTGATGTAGGGGGGCAAAAAGGCATCAGGAGTCTCGAGGAATATTTCGATATGGTCTGGACACAACCAGTAATAGGAGTACCTCCATTGGACCAGACCAGTTCTATCAGGCGGTTCTCCCCCACTATGAAGCTCATTGGAAAAGTGGATGCAACAGGGACAAAAACTTTTATACGAACTCTGTCTTTCTAGAAATTCCAGAGGAGTAACTTGCATGTTGGCGAGCCTCACGGGCCAATCGTTTCCAGCGTGATTGTAATAGTGCTGGATCTCGAAAAACACAGCCACCATCAAATCTCTGGTTTGCTTCCAGACGCTCCAGTTTGAGGTTTCTATCGAAATTTCCGATGTTACTTGATATTCTCTGTCGTACCACTTCCTAAAACTGGCTGCCGGTATGGTCCATTCCTTCCAGAGATGGTGAACGAAATGTCGACTGAAACGGGGAAAGCCTCTTCGTCCGATATCTCTAGCTAGACATTCAAGAATCTCATCTTCAGATGCTCGCAAATCGATGACCAAATTTGGAACCATTCCAAGGTACGACAGATTCTTGACCTCTGCGACAGAATTGGGAAATCCGTCGTATATAACACCTTGTGTGATTGCTCGAGCATCGAAACTAGCAGCTTCCACACATCTGGCGATCAAATCGTCTGTCAACTCCATACCGTTCCTCAATAGCAACTCCATTTTTTCAGTGAGGCTAGAGAATGGAAGATAAGTCAGGACGTATCTGGCAGCTTGACCTCTTGTTATCACTTTCATTCCATATTCGTCTTTGATTCTTTGAGCAAGGGTTGATTTACCACATTTCGGGGGGCCTATAATGGATGTTTTGAAAGGTCTCAAATTCAAAGCCACCCTGTCGATTAAAACATATCTGAGAGGGTCCTTCTTGAATTTGGCAACATTGCCATCACCGACAATGTAGTAAATATAACTTCTATGAATTATCGGGAAAACGTTATGGTGATCTTCCGCTGAAGTCAACATGGGGAAGGGGTTTCTATTTTCATAGTATTGTACTGGACATGATCTTCCGAATTTACTCAAAAAGTAGTAGCCACTCGAAAGAAGCCTGTCAGCTACTTCTGAAGATACATCGTAACAACGTTCAAAAATGGAAAGCGTGCGATGTTTTATGCTATCAGTAATAAACAACGCTCTCCTCAATGTAAGATCAGGCTGATCTAGATCGACTTCAATTTTTGTGAACGGTATCAGCTCTACGTCACATGCAGATTGTATGTCGCTCAAAAATCCAGATTCTATGGTAATGTCATCAGTGATAAGTACTTCATAATTATCGTCTTCGAATGTTTCCAACGGCTGATGTGGTGATGTCTCTGGCAGTTCGATATCCAACATCCTGTTGATTTCATCTATATCTCTCTGTTCGGCTATAGAATCGACACTAACTTGGGAAATCGCAGTCAAGTCATTTGCTGTCGCCTTCTCGCTCTTTTTTTTAGCATACCTCGTTTCTCTTTTCTGCTCCAATAACTCTTGATACCTCTTCATACGTTTTTCTTCCCACTCAGTATTCGTTTCATGATCAAGCTCGGCTAATTGCTTCCTTTTCATTTCCATTCGTTCATCCCAATTCCTTCTGTGGATGTCAAGCAGTCTTTTCTTTATTTTAGTTTCGTCTCCTCCGAGGTGGATGACTATATCTGGTATCAGTTTGTATTTCGTCATAAACTCGATGTCTGACGGTCTTTTAGGAAAATCGTCTATAACGAAACCTATTTGATTAGTGGGGTAGGAAAACCACAAACTGCTCAAGTTATTCACATAGAAGTTATCTTTCAATGGATAGTTATAAGTGAGGTAATTGAATACTTCCATATTCGCTTGTTTGTCCCTTCTCAACTCCTCTAAAGAATGGGATGGACTAATGCCGAAGCTTTTCTTGAGAATAGAAGAATAACTGATATACGATAATCCGTAACTGTTGGCTAAATATTGAGACATTGTGGTTTTTCCAGATCCTTTTACCCCCACTACACATATTCTAGGTGGAGGAATTGTTTTTGGTGGTGCGTTAGTCAAATAATTCCTTGGTGACAGCAGAAACTTTTCCATGTCTGCTTCGCAGCTCAAAAGATAAACTTGGTCTCGGAATTTGACTGCCAAATCTTCCTTCCCCTTCCATAACACCCAATGATCCTTGAAAGTTACGGGGCAGTAATAGAATGTATCACCATAGCGTCGATTTTTTTGAATTGAATCTTCGTCGGGATTTCTCGCAGTGATTGGCCCTTCTGCCATTTCCTCTTCTTGCACAGTTTCGTCACCAAAATCCTTGACTTCATCGGCTCTATCTTCTTCTGAAAATGTAGAGGCTTTCACTCTATACCTGTCTTCTATGATTCGGATGCATTCCATCATTAGTTCCGGCAAAGATTTGTTGGTTATTTCTATTTCTAGTACCTCGTGTCCAAGTTTCTCGAAATAGTTCTTCGTATCAGGCCATTGTTTATAAAATTGTGATACTTCTTCCTGATAGCTTTGAGATCTCGTTGAAATATTCACAGCCATTTTACTGGATTCTAGTGTGTTGTCGAATATTTCGGATAGTATACTACGTGCTAAATGTGTTTTATAAGATGTGGTTGACATTTCTGAGGGAGCTCTCCAAGCTGCATCAATATTTCCCAAGCTCATGAAGAATTCGCGATAGTTCGTGAACGTATTTTCGCCTCTATCTGAAAACCTTTGGGTGAGAAACTCGAAATTTCCTGTGTCTTTGAGCAAGATTATTTCATCTGCTATGTAATCAGGATATAGTTCGTCGAGAATGGCCGTATCCGATATCATTCCATCCAAAACCCAGCCTCCTCTGTTATTTCCTTGTTCAATATATGCATCTTCCACGTTTCTCATAGTACTGATGAACATATCGACAACATTTTTGTTGTTTATATCGATATGATCTAAGTCGGCGTTCTCCACAGCTCGATTTGCATAGTCAATGACAAAGTCATCTAGAACACTGGCTGGCTTGGGAGCAACTTTCTTCTTCAGATTGTCGGGTAAGTAGGAAAAGAACTTCTTTCTATCTTTCAGAAGGTTCTTCAGGACAAGGACATCGTAACTGAAAGGGATTTTGTATTGGTCCAGCTGATCTCTAACTTTCTTGATAGCTATAGTGGTTTCGGTTTCTATTTCGACAAAGTCCACTTTCTTCATTGCCATAGGAAACGAGGAGATTTCGAATTTAGTTACAGTTTGTTCCCTATCCTTTTCGTCGATCAATTGTATCAGATTCTGAATTAAATCTCTCACTGCCATAGCCCACTCTTTGATTTGTTCAATTCTACTCTTCTCTTGTTCTTCTGCCTGCCCAGCACGTATTTCATTGAGAAGTTGAATTCCTTCGATGAAGGCAGCTTGTCGAATTTGCTCTCTATGTTCGTCTTCTTTCTGCATCAAAAAGTCTTTCATCATATGCTCTATGCACAAAACGGTGCCGTTCAAAAAGTAAGCTAAGCATTTGGCTATTGCTGTCTTCCCTGAACATTTCGGACCGAATATGAATATTTTGCAAGACGATTTTGGGAGTGGGGGTAGAAGAAACGGTCTCGGATTCCTATAAAACTTTATGAACGCCTGTTCATCAGCCAGGAAGAATATTCTATTCATGAAATGGACCCCAAAATCTGGTTGTCCATTTATTGTTCTACCATTTTTCATTGAAACCGGACACTTGGTACCCCAGTCAGACCAGTTCCATCTGAACGAAACACTAGGAGTGTCTCTCTTACTGAAAAGTCTGTAACAGTCTTCTAGGCTCATGTGATTCGAGCTGGGGGCTAGTAACTCTCCTTCACCTGTATCAACAATATCTTCGATAGCGTTCAATTTTTTTGGAAGTATCACTCTTTGTAGAGGCAGAATTTTCATCCGAGCCTTGAGCAAATGGAACATTCTTTGAACGCTGGTCCTTCCATCGACCTTGACAAAATACTGTGGGTCGTGCAACAGTATTCGATTTTCGATGAAATTCATTGCAGTGTATCGATAATTGTCCAGCTGCGTGGACACGTGACTCGGAAAATGTTCTGGCAACAAAACAGGATCTATAGGGTTCGACGTATCCGGATTATACAATCCACTATCGAAAAATTCATCGGGGATGTCTTCATTAGCTTTACCTCGTTGCCTGGAGAACAAGTCATAGAACAGTTGTTTGGTTTTCTCGCTCAACAAATCCACGTTCAAATTGGAATAAACATCGTATCTGTAGTTGAATCTTTTATTGATGACATCTTCCGTACTACACATGATATAGATAATCAGGAATGGTGGTTTGAGCAGGTCGAATAAAAAATTGAGCTGGTGTTCGAAATCGATTCCGATTTCAGGGGGCTGACAAACATCATAGTCCCCACCGAGATCCGGAGGAATTTGAGGTGCAAGTTTCGGAGGAGATTGCTGCTTGACTGGAGTACCTTCACCCTCACCTGGTGCTTCCTCATCCTCAGCTGGATTTTCTTTATCATCTTCCCCACCTTCTCCAGGCTCTCCTGCTTCGCTAGTGTACTTGGAGGAAATCGTTACTTCATGCCTACTGGATGGAGGCATTCCTATTTCGATGGTAGCATCGATGACTTCCTCAAACATTTCCTTGACGGTGAAAACCGCTGATTCTGAGCTGATCGGATCTTCTTCGTATAGATCGTTCGGTATGAGCGGTAGACCGCATATAACGAAGCCTCTATGTTTGGCAGACTCTGAGTTGACTCTTTTCTCCACTAATCGCAGAATGACATCAACTCCTATCGCTCTGCCGCATCTCAAGTTGAACTCGATGCATTGGCCTACTCGAGTACCATTATCGATTTCTTGTTCGATCAGAATTTCTGGTTCAATATAAACGCATTGCCAGTACTCTGCTAGGCGTTTGCCTAGTTCCTGTTCTCCTATACCTGGTTTTCCTAGTATGATGAAACAAACAGGGTTTGATTCTAGGTACTGCAGCTGCGCCAACTTTTCCGAGTAGTTTGAACTTTCTCTTAGCACGCCGATGGCGTCCAAACTAGTGAGAGAGACAAAGGAAGGTTTGGAACCAAGGATGTGGTTGACTCTTTCTAAGGGGTCTACGTCTTCTGCATAAGGGTAGTAAGAATTGCAGTATGGGTACCATTCTTCCAAGGGTGGGCAGGCAGAATGTGTTTCTTTCGGTATATTTATCCCTGTGATCTGGTTTAAATTGCAATCATTTATTATAATGGTCTGATCGCTTTTGAAATTTGTCAAATGGTCTTTCTCACGTATATAATAATCAGTTTGTTGTTCTTTAATATTACACATGTTGTATCGAAATGTTTCGACATCAAATGACAAAGGCCGCCAATATTGTCAGCTGACATTCAATCAAATACTGTATGATATATCTACATTGTATGAATTTCATATTGCTAAATACTTGTATTGTATGTTGTCTGTAGGTTGATATAGAGTTTCTCAATGAATCTGACTCTTATGTGATACTATACAGTAATCTTTTAAAGGTCTCCAGGAAGCCCATCATCGTCAGTACTCAATTGGGACGATTCTATATTTCTGATCTTCGGATCGTTTAAGTTTTTGCTTGAATCTTTGTTACATGTTGTGATAACGTTAGTTGCTACTTACATAATTTCGGAACAATTCGAGGTAGTCTGACGTTGCGATGACATGAAAACTAAATCTACTATAGAGTGAGACCCCAGAGATCCCAGTCATAACACATTTTCAAAAGTACAAAATATAGGGCTTCCAGTAGTGTTTATAGATACAATGAATGCCAGCATATGAGCTGAGTTGATTATACGGACAATTCACAAATACCAGGGTTGAAAGTTGAAAAAAAATAAGGTTAACTTTAGTTAAATTATGAGAATTGATTTCCATATGTTACATGAGATATCATGACAAGATGACTGCCAGGCACTTTCCGACGTCCATAATCATAAATAAAATATATTGTAACTTTACTCATCTTCTAACGCCTGATTTTCATATATGTATGTTATATCCTGACATTCCATTTGAACTTATAAAATAATTCACTGCTTGATATAATCATATGAGATTAATCTGCCCACGCGATTCTAGAGAAGTCGCGTGGTGCATTTTCAGCATTTTCTGAAGATAACAGTCTTGAATGCATATTCACGACTGGGAATCAACAGACTAGAATGAGCTTTCAATTCGAACACATCAAAATTAAGTAACATCACTCAAAATCAAAGTCTCGATACATTTCAGCTCGAAATGAAGTGTATTTTTTAAAAACCAACGAGTATCTCCCAAGTTATAAAAATTGGCGCAGTCGTGACGGATCTACGAAAAGGTCGAAAAACCGTTCGTTCAACAAAACAGTCCGCGAATTTAGTGCGAAACCGGAAAAAGACTTTCCTGACTAAATAGTGAGACAAAAAAAAAAAACTGTATTTCGATCGTGACCAGTGGCACCTTTCCTGGACTAATCGCAAGTGCAGTTTTCCAATTGCAAGTGGATTCAACAACACAAAACAACCCTCCAAGCAGATCTCTCTCCAGCGGCACCTTTCCTGGCGAAGATTACTTGAGAGTCCAACAACGAGTCGTCCTCTGGAACTCAGCGGCCCCTTTCCTGACCCAGAATCGTCTTCGTTCCAAGAACAAACTCCAGAAGCAAGCCTTGATGCAGCTCCAGCTCCTCATCGTAGCTATGTAAGTTATTGTTTCTATTTTCATGACTATTGCGGCGTAAAGCAACCTTTCCTGCAATTTTCCTATTGATTCCAAAAAATTAATCCACTCTTCCCTTGCAAAACGAACACAAACAAGAAACTACTCTGACAAAAAAAATGGCAGAAGCAGGTTTTTCATTGAAAGAACTTCGTGACATGATTCCAGAATATGACGGAGATCAAGCAACTCTTCATGACTTCATAGAAGCATGTAATTTTGTAACAAACCAAGTCGATGAAAATCAAGAAAATGCTCTCATTTTCATAATAAAAAGTAAACTGACAGGCAAAGCAAAAAGGTTCATTTCTAGTAGACAACTCCAAACATGGGATGATATTCGTGTACTCTTAATAGGTCATTATGGTGATTGTCGTGACACAGAAGGATTGCTACGAGACCTCACTTCATCTTTCCAAAAATCAAATGAAACACCACGAGTTTTTGTTCAAAGAATTGAAGATCTTTTAACAAAACTAAGAACAAGTGTTGCTCTTGATAACAATCTCAATGCCCAAGAAAAAGCAGCATTAAATCAATCACACGAAAAAATTTCTTTGAAAACGGTACTCGCAGGTTTAAACGAGCCCTTCGGTTCAATAATTCGCTCACAGAGACCACAATCTCTTGATGAGGCAGAACAATTTTTGATAGAAGAAGAAAACATCGCGTATTTGAAAAACTTCAGAATTTCAAAATCAAACCCAAAAGTTGATACACGTCATCAACCATTCAATCGTACTTTTCCAAAAGAAAACTACGGAAACCATTCAAATCCGAGACAACAACAAAATCAAAAATATTGCAGTTATTGTAAAAGCACAGGTCATACAATAAGTGATTGTTTCAAACGTCAAAGAAACAATGGACAAAACAATTCACAGCCGAATCAAAATGCGAACCAAAATCGAAATGATTTTCAAAACAGAAATTTTCAGAACAGAGTTTCAAATTTTCAAAATATTGGAACCTCTGGAACACAACCTATTCCTAGACAACCAGATCAAAGACCCTCAGTGATTCAAAGAATTCAAAGTAACCCTCAAAATCCTGTCAATCATTTAAACTACCAGGAGGAGACAAACTATTCGGGAATTTGCACTCCTCAGATTCAGAATGTTCAGCCCGAAACTCAGATAGAAGAATTCGAGCAGATGAACGAATTCAACTCTCAGTATTAAATAATCTCAATAAAAAACTGTTCTACATCCAAGACAAACAAGGATTCAAATTTTTAGTAGATACAGGCGCACCAATATCACTAATGAAAACAAACGTTGCAGAACAAAAATCTTACATTCGACAAAATGACGAAAATTTTTCAATTTACGGCATAAATGGTACGTCAAGTGAAGAAAAAATAACAAAAAGTATAGACATAGTTGTCGCACCGACAAAAACTTTAAGATACTATTTAATAGATTTTGACTTTCAATTTGATGGACTAGTAGGTATTGATTTTCTCGAAACAACTAACGCAGAAATTGATATCGCTAACAGAAAGTTAAAATTATTTTTCAAAGAACTCGAACTTCATGTCCACCACCCAATTAATTCAGAAAATACTCAAATAACAGTTCCAGCAAGAACTATACAGACAATCGAATTACAAATTCAGAAACAAGATCATAAAATTTCAGAAGGAATATGTCCAGAAATTTCAATAAATGACCAAATAAAAATACCCAGTAGTATAGTAAAAATAAATGACAATGAAAAATTCATAACTACGATAGCAAATTTCTCTATAAACGAACAAACAATTGAAATACCCCAAATTCAAATCGAATCAATCATTGAAACAAAAACCAATGATTCAGTCCAAATCAATAATTTTCAAAACATCGATAGAGAAGAAAAAATTCTTTCAGAACTCAGACTTGAACATTTGAATGAAGAAGAAAAGACAGAAGTAGAAAATCTATGTTTGAAATATCAAGATATTTTTTATTTGGATAATGACAAATTATCATTCACAAATCAAATCAAACACTCGATAATAACTGAAGAAAAATGTCCAATTTCCACAAAAACCTATCGTTATCCTCATTCTTTAAAACAAGAAGTCAAAACACAAATTAGCGATTTGCTCAATCAAAAAATAATTCAACCTTCGGTAAGCCCATGGAATAGCCCAGTGTGGATAGTTCCCAAAAAGTTAGATTCAAGTGGGAAACAAAAATGGCGAATAGTAATAGATTATAGGAAACTTAATGAAGTTACTATTGGAAACAAATATCCGCTACCAAGTATCGAAGATTTACTCGATCAATTAGGTAAATGTACTTATTTTACAACGTTAGATTTAGCGTCCGGATTTCACCAGATTGAAGTAGAAAAACGTGACATTCCAAAAACAGCATTCAGCGTTGAGAATGGACACTATGAATTTTTGAGAATGCCTTTCGGACTTAAAAATTCACCAGCTACATTCCAAAGAGTAATGGACAACGTTTTAACAGGATTACAAGGAGAACTGTGTATGGTATATATGGACGATATCATTATTATTTATAGTTCCAACCGGTTCCAACTTGTCAGACCATATTCAAAGACTCGAAAAAGTTTTCGACAGACTTTCATGTTGTAATTTCAAAATTCAACCCTGTAAGTGTGAATTCATGAAAAAAGAAGTAGCATATTTAGGACACATAGTCACTAGAGACGGCGTAAAACCGAACCCTTCGAAAATCGAAACTGTACAAATTCAAAATGACTTATAGTTCAGTCGCTCACCCTCAATCGAATGGAGTAGCAGAAATATTTCACGCAACTCTCTCAGATTCATTGCGAGCATATCATTCAGAAAATCCAAATAAATCAATTCTAGAAGGAATCCCATTTTGTATAAAATCTTATAATAGAAGCAAGTCAAATTCAACTAAGTACACCCCTGAAGAAATAATTTTTGGTCACATCAGAGATGATGATAATGAAACATTATTCAGCCAAGATGAACTTCAAACGAATTATGTTAATGACATGAAAAATCAAGCTTCTTTTATTTTCGAAAAAGTCAAATCTAACATTAGTCAGTCGAAACAGAAATCTAAAGACAGATTTGATCGACATGTAAGACCGAATCAACCGCAATACAAAGAAGGAGATTATGTTTATTTACGAGAATCTCAGATAGGAAACAAAATGAAAAATAAGTATAATGGTCCTTATAAAATCATTCGTATAAAAAATACAAACACTGCTGAACTCGAAATAGGTCAAAATAAGACTTCTATTGTGAATTTCGATAGACTGAAGCAAGCTTCATCTATTCCAGGTTCCTCGGCAGAGCCCTCAGATCCTCAGCAAGAATAGAAAAAATGCATACACCAACTGGTATGTTCTTCCAAAAAGAAGGAATCGCCAGAATATCTAATGATGAATGGAAAATCATTGTATACAAAAATATTTCACTATTCCAAAACTCATTTAAACAAAGCCAAAATGCTCAAGATTCTTTAAAGACGCTCTTGAACAAAAATAATATCAACCCTTCATTTAAAATACCATTTTCTGCTCAACTTTCGTTATTGAATACCATTAATAAGCAAATAGAAATGAAATTTTCCGAAATTCTATTGGAAACACCAAGTCGTTTCAAACGAGGACTAATAAACGCAGCAGGCTCAGTATGG